CCACATCCCAGCCCCATAGCCCCCAGGGCTGTCACTCCTGGGGCTTCAAGCGGTCATAGACCGCGGATGCAAGGATGCCTGCGTCCGAATCCGTGCAGGCCCAAGACGGGCGTTTTGAGCTCGTCCTTTCTCCTAACATGGAATTCCAAAAGAACCATGGAATCTTCTTTAGCTCAGTGGTCCCAAGGTTGTGCCATTTAGCACCTGCAATCATGGCATCTGCTTGACCACGCTGAGGCTGCTGCTGACGGTCAGAACTCCGACCAGCGTCATGCAAACCACCTGACGTGCAGGCAGAAAATGTGGACATCTCTACACATACTGATTGAAAGTCTACTTTATCAAAACCCCTCTAACTGTGAACCTACAGGCCTTAGTCGATTCTGCTTCGGCCAAATCTTAAGTGAATAGTATACTGTAAGCTGCTTCATCAGCTCTTTCATCAGAGAAGAAAGGACAAAGAAGTTCCTTTTCGCCGTTCTTCACGCTGTTCCTTCTCGCCAGGAACACGACGGCAAGGCCTCACCAGGAATGTGGATCCAACCTCGAACCACCTGGAGCAGCTGGGAAGCTCCGATCGCAGCCCATCACCGGGGAGGTCCAGAGCTGTTCCGAACTTGGAACGTGGTCACCTCTTAAGCTCAGAAAGAACCATTTTTGTGTAAACAGTATCCTGGACAGGGTGATTCAAAAAAATCATTGATGCCTATCATTGTTTTTGTTTCGATTGGTGCCTATATATTCCTCCTGAACCGCTGGTCTTGACACCAGCCCACCCAGGCAAACAGGTCGGCCCCCCCGCACCAGCTTGGCGCCGATGAACATCAGAATCACCGAGACAGCGTAAGGCCTCGGGGATGAGACGCCAAACAATCGCCGTCAGCGATGAGACGACACCCCAAGTCTTTTTCAATTCAGCGATGTTTGCAAGTCCTCTGAAAGAAAGAAGAAAATGGAGCATGGCGTTGCTCTTTCACTGTTTGTTGCATGTTTCAACATGGTCTAGTCTAGAGTCTAGAGATCACCTGGCATCTGAAGATGCATCTTCTAACTCTTTTTCCTCACACATAGGAGGCCACACGAGACACTTCACACATACCAAGATCAAAGCCACCAAACATTCATTGATTAAGGTTCCTTCCTCAGTTTGATTCAACACCTGCCAGGCTGTGAGATGTTCACCTGCTAGGCTGTGTTGTTTCGAAACAACACCACCCTAAACCGATGACACGGATGGCCGGTTCTTCTCCAGTTTCACGATGGAGAGCAAATCCCAGCAGCAGCAAAGTGAAGAGCTTCACCAGCTCATCCACCACGAAGAAGGTCGCGCGAAGACCTGGCCCACGAAGGTCCCGCGGCTTGAAATCCCTCGAAGGATTCAACCAAAAGGCAAGCACGTTGGCTCCGGATTGAGTAGACTGATCTTTTTGGTACAAAAGCGGAGCAAAAGCACGAGATACTAGTGCCATGGGACTCAATAGCTTTTAGAACGCCTGAATTGTGCGATGGTCTTTATTAGTCTTGAGGCATATATGTTATGTGCATATATATTAGTAAAAGTTATCAATTACCAATCGTGCTCCTCTCCTGGAGTCCAACCTCAAAGTCCTTCCGTAGATCAAACCTGCTCTATTGGGGCTTGGATGGTAGGTCGTCTCGAACAAATCCCAGCTGCTGTGAATCAGACAGGTCCCTCCACCCTGGGAATGGTCTCTGAACCACCCCCTCACCCCCTACATGATCATGGAACATGAACTTCTCATCTAAATCCCCTTTTTTTTGCAGGGACCTTGGTAAAAGATTGGTAAACATCCATCATGTGAGCTCTCCCTGGCGGCCAATGGATGCTTTGAAGAACCTCTGAGGATCTCTGAGGTATGGCCAAATTGTTGCCATGCCCGGCATGCGCATGTCTCGGCAGGGCCCATAATCTCTTTGAGGGCATGTTTCTTGAGCCTTTCTCAAAGGAAACGATCCCACTAAAAAGCAGCCAGTGTCCTTGATTTCAGACCGTGAAGAGGAATGGGTAATCCACAAAACTCGGCATACTCGGCATATGTGCTCTTGGTTTCTCTTTGTTTGAAGTATTCGCACCTAGCATGGCAAAGACACACGCAGTGTAGGCCTCGGCCAAGAAGGGATCGGTGGAAGAGTGTCAGGGCATTTTGTGGACTCCAAATCATCTTCACCATGGTGTACCGTCTTCTGGTGCTTGAACCAACCAAAATAACAGCCTCAAGGCCTCAAGACTAAGAGCTTCCTCTGCTTGCCCATCGCTGTTGTAATCTCTTTTCTCCCTCCACTTGAGCCGACAGCTGAACTGCCAAGACGGAAAACCCCATGGTGTACGGAGGTGGAGTGGGCTACTCCACTGACTCCCCGGCTATCTTGCCCCACTCCATTCTTCATGCTGCAAGTACTGGTTTTGTCTGTTGTGGGTCTTCATCTCTCCCCCCCAAAAAAGCCATCAATTGGCCATACATGGCCACCAAGAGGCCAAGAAGAGGTCTGGGATCTGAGCGATGATGGCCGAGACCGAGTCCACCTTGGGACTTTCGGGATGCGTGCATGATCCCTCTGGACTGGTTAGAAGCTACTAGGTGGAGGCCATCGCTAGTAGGTTGGAGGATGTTGGAAGCCATCGTAGTAACAAAAGAATGCTTTCTGGTGAGAAGCTCCCTCCGTGGCCGTCCGCAAGTGCAGCCCCAGCGGCGGCGAAGGCCACGTCCGTCAACTGGCAGTTCGGCTCAACACCGAAGGAGTTCGTCCCATTTCCCAAGAAGCGCTCTTCCCCAAAGAGGAAGCTGGAAGAAAAATGCTGGAGATGCTTTGGTGAAGGGGCAAGGAAAGTCATATGTGCCAAACATCAAAGGTGCCAACCACCTTACAGTTCGTATCCAAGAAGTTCGCATCTACAACTCCTAAGCTGCTGGGAGCTTCCTTTGATCATTTGTGTAGAGTCAGCTGATCCTAGGTCTGCCGGAAAAGACATCAGACGGTTGCAACTGAACTACAACACAACCATTGAAGCGCAGCATATCAAATCCAAACCTTTTCTGCTCACCTGCAAACGCAACAAGGGCCTCGGAATAACAAACTCCCCGCTCCGTGTGTTTCTGCGTGCGAATTCTTCCTTGTCTTGCCTCCAGGCACAGAACCACCAAGACCAAACGGGTGGCATAGGTCCTGGAGATTCGTGCCGTGGTGGAGAATGAAATGAGAACGTCTGATCTCTGGATTTGCTCATTCATGCCATGTCCGTAAGAAGTCAAAATGACTCTACCATGATCTGTAAGAAGCTCCTCAAGCCGCTTTTCATCCTGACGTCCTTTGATGCGAAAGCTCCTAAAAACGTTTTAGGAGGGTGTTGACACCCCATCCATGTCATAGATCTATGAGGATAATTTACACAGGAGGATGCTCCATCTGCCAGCCATGACGTCCACTCGACACACCCAGTCCCATAGGTCAGATCACGGCCCTTGCTGGGCTCGTGCACCTCATCACCACCGGCCCAACCGCTGTCCGAACGGGTTTGGGCGTCTAGTCAAGACTTGGCGTCTTCAACGTCTTCAAGGCAAGGAGGTCTGCCCTCAGCGATCTTGGAAAGCTTTCGTGGTGTTTACGTTCTTTTGGCCCGGTAGGCCTGCCCTCGGAAGGCTCCTAGCTACTTAAGCTAAGGATATGGACTCACGCTTCTTCAAGGAAGCTCCCCCACCGCCCTGAAGGCGGCGGGGGGGAGCTTCCTTGAAGAAGCGCTTGCACTAATGAATGATTTGGTTCCTACATGTAGGGAAACTGTCATACATATATATATATATATTATATATATATACTTTGGGGAAGTCTGAAGTTTGTGATTCCGCCGATCGAGAGTCGCTCCAAACCAGTCGGTCTCTCAGCGCGCGTCTCTCTGCCGACCGAGATCATCACATCGCAGTCCTTGGGCAACCTGACAGCGCAAGGCCAACAGGACGATGTCACTGATGTCACATCATCCGAACCTCTTGGAACTGGAGCATATCCGATTGATGGACCTGGGACCTTGTGTCCACCAAATCGTTAATCCACGGTAGATTCGAGTGTGAAGGGGGACTTCAAGTTATGCGGCAGGATGTAGCAACGTCAAAGGAAGACGTGCTTTGTTCATCTTTATTCCGCTGCAATGGATGCAAAATCCGCTCTCACCTGAGCATCGATCGGACTTAATTGTACGAAGAATGCGAGTCTTCGAGCAAGGTAGCCCATCCAAGAAATCTGAGGGCTTGACATTTGCGGTGTCCAATCCGGAAGCACGGGCTCCTGAAAGGACTTCGGTGGATCTGATCGATCCGCGGTCTACCTGGGGTCTCAGCTCACCCCAGCCACGCAAAATTCGGAGGGGAAAGAGACACTGAAAGATAGATGGGAAGCTCGGGAGGAGCTCCATGTTTTTCTTGCAAAGAGCTGGAGACAGCTGGAGGAGTTATGTTGGAACAATGAGGGAAGAAGCCTTAGGATGATTCAGGATGCCTTGGGATTTCCATGGATGTCGTTCCAAATCGGAACATTCGTTTCTTGCTCTCACCATGTTAGGTCTCCTTCGTCTGCTCGTCCAGGGCTGCACGAGCAAAGAAACGCGGCCTCTCAGCGAGACAAAGTGAGAAATCTCCGCTCTACAAAGAAATGAATTGTCCTGCCCTAAGAATCCGGGCTCTCAAACACACAGAGGCTAAGGATTCTTAGGGTGAGAAGAAATCTCCGGAATTGTCGACGAAACTGCACCTGTGTTTCTGTCCAGAGGGGTAGAGTACCATGAATGATGTGCACCGACTGCCCTGAAGTCTTTCTGTGCGAGTTCCCACTTTCAACAACGAATATTAGTCGGGTATTTGACTGGAACCATCCTTCAAGTAGCAGGGTGCATGGATGCTCGATGGATGAGGGAAGCACTCTGACTCTCTTGTGTCGCAGCCTTTTGGCGTGGCTCCATGTTGCAGCCTCAAAGCTCATCTCTGATCTCAGACGTTTTCGCTTGCTGTCAAGCTGAAAGTTTCGGCTGGCTTTTGTGGACTAAATGCCATGAGGTAAAGCTCTTGCGCACGGGAATACTCCTTCTTCTCAACACAGACCTGCCCTAAAGCAGCTTGAAGATCTCGTAGAAGATCATCCAAAGCCATGGGAGAGTAGGTCTTATCACTTCCAGATGGCATCTTAGGCAACACCTCCAAGGAGTGCATTGCAGCCTGCAAATGTCGATCGGCTGCTTCCAAGTCTCCGCTTTTGCGATGGATTTGTGCCACCAAACTCCAGATCTTGGCACGTCGCATCAAAAGCTGCGGATCGGACCCGGTGCCCGAGTCGGCGCCGCGCCTTGCAAGGCAGTCCGCGCAAATTGTGAGGAAAAGAGCTCTTCCAAGAAGAGATTGGGAATCAAAATAAGGAAAGATATGGAAAGATTCACATCCAAGTGGCTCGGTCAAAACCTCATCAGCCGCAGCATAAGCATCGATGGCGCTCTCCAAGTCGCCATCCCACCAAAGTATGCCTCCATACTTCTCGAGCAGCTCAATGTGCAAGTTGCTGTTCCGCAGGGGGCAGTTGTCGGAAGATATCTCCATCAGCTGGTCCTCCAAGACATCTGCAGCTCTGTCAAACTTGGCCAGCCCCAAAAAATGATCTGCTGTGACCATGGCCTTCTTCGCCGCCTCCGTCAAACGAGCACCCAGCTCCTCCTTGGACGGCTCTGGGGTCTCCTGCCAAAGGAGGACATGGGATTTGGGGTGAAACGGCAAGGTTGGGGGTGGTCCCCATGTTTAGTCTTCTCTCCAACTAACTCCCAAAAACATCACTCTCCTGTGTTGGTGTCTCAGTCTCCATCTCCACTGTCTCCACTGTCTCCACCGTCTTCGCCTTCGCCTTGGCTTTCACCTTCCGCGGCGCGGCCTTGGCCGAAGACGCCTTCGGCGGCGCTTTGGGCAGCTTGAAGCCACCACCCACGCGCACGGCGGTCGCAAGAGGAGTGGCCTTAGGCGCCAAGGGAGGCGGACGCCTCTTAGGCGTGGCCTTGGGTGGTGTGGCTGGTGCTGCCTTCGGTGGGGAAGTGGCTGGAGTGGCTGGAGTGGCTGGAGTGGGGGTGGATGGACTAGCACGAGGGGGTTGGGGAGCTGGGGAAACTTGGGAAGCTAGGCTTTTCACAGCAGATATAACAACAGTGACATCTGGCGCAGGGGCAGGGGCAGGTGTTGAAGGCTCATAGGCGGAGGACTGGGAAGGTTCAGCCCCTTTCGCTTTGGCTGGGCTTGAAGCCTCCGGTTTTGGAGGCTCTGGTATTCCGGACAAAGCCTCGGGCTTTGGCAGCTCGGCTTCTCGAAGCTGCTGAGGCTCGTGGGCCGCCTCCAAGCAGGTCTTCTGCTCAGGCTCCTCACGCTCCATCAAAAGCTTCATCTTTTCCTCCAATGGTAAAAGCACCTGCTGCTCTGGGGGAACCTTGAAACTCTCGGCACTTGCACTCCCACCGGAACCACCACTGTGGCTCGTCCGATGGGAAGCATCGGAAGAAGTACAAGAATCCAAATGTTGAGGTTCATCATGCCTTAAGCATGTCAGTGCTTCATCATAGAGCTTAGCAGCTTTGTCCTTCTCCCCAATATCCTCTAAAACTGCGGCCCAGAGGGTGTGCAGCGACGCCTTCTTGAGGTAATGGAGGGTGGGATTCTCTTGGCCACCCGCCAGTACACTCACTTCTGCTTCTGACAGCAGCTTGGCAGCAAGTTCTGGATGGCCATCCTTCAAGAGTTCCTGAACCTCCCAAGTGAGATGCTCGATACCCTCTGCTGCTGCCTCAGAACTTTGGGAGCTTCTGCTGTGGCTTCTTGAGCTTTCAGTGGCGAGGTCGTCCATGTCTTCGAGGTGCTCCTGACAAAAAGCAAGCCATGCAGCTGTTGAGTGAACCAGTATGTCTCTGGCATCTTCACATCACCTTCTTTTTACTTGGACTTCACGGTGTTCACCACATGTTTAGCCGTTTAGCCACCAAGAATCTGGAACACATAATGTGCATTATATAACCTTTTCTTTAAAATAAAAGCAACAAAAAGCAACGCAAAAAATACATAAGATTTACTCTCTCCCCCTCCGTCCCTCCATCTCCTGGTGCAGCTCTTCTGCTTCCTGGAGCAACTCTTCCGCCTCCCGTCGGCAGCCCATCTGCTCGGCCAGGGCCGCCACGGTGGCCAGCGCGTTCACGTTCACCGGATGACTGACGTTCACCAAGTCGGGGTGAACAAGAAATCGCAAAAAGAAAAAACAAATGGAATCCACAAACCCGAATGCAAACACGTACTCGAAAACGAACGCCCAAACATTTTTTGACACTCTTGTAGGAGACACTCTTGTAGAACGCTCTTGTGGGACACTCTCGTGCGACACTTTCGTCACTCTGTGGGACACTCTTGCAGGACACTCTTGTAGGACACTCTTGTGGACTCTTGTGCAACACTCTTGCGGGACGGTCTTGTGGGACACTCACATACGACACTCACGTACTCAGATCTAATTTGGCCACATAAGTTGACAGTTCTGAAGCCACAGCTCCCAGAAGCTGCTTCCCGTATACTACATATGTATCCCCCCATGCAGATTCGAGGGGTAGGTCAGCGCAGCCCACTTTACAAGCCTAAATCTGTGGACATAGCCAAAATTTGGTCAAGAATCAAGAGAACAAAGAAAATGAGAGAAGTATAAAATCGAGCTCCCAGAATTGCGGCGTTCCACTGCTCTAAACAACAAACACCCATGCTCTGGCTGCTCTTAGCATTTACAAACCCGCGCCCTTTCCGCTTCTGCTCCCACGCCGGAAGCAAAGAACAAACAGATATGTTCCAAAAACAAATATAGGCAATATATGGTTTCTATAAATTCAAGGGGCCTGAGCACACTAGCCACAACAACAAAACTATGATATCTTTGGGGTGAGAGACCACCTGATTCTTGACCATCTATCAGGGGACAGGATGGCCTCAAGCTTTCAAATCTAGAGTGGAACATTGATGAACATTGCATTGGTATTGAGGTTGGCATGATATTGGTTCCAATGATCAAAAACCTATCCAACAATGATAAATTGGTAGTCTTCAGAGATGTGCAGAGCCAAGGACCGCAAAAATTGCAAAACCAAAACATAATGCTTTCTAGAATCAACTGCACAACCTCATCAAGCCTAAACTCATCTAAAATCTCTAACGAATCAGAGGACTTGACATTTGCTTGACAAAAATGAACTAGACGACGGTTGGCCCGAGAGCGAGACATGTAATTGTCCAGCACTGTCGAAAAGATGTATAGAAAGAGAGAAAGAGAGGGTGGATGTGAAGGAGTGACAGTGTGGATGTGCAGGTGCGATATAGGTCTGTAGATGTATGGAGGTGGAGAGGTAGATCTGTGGATGTGAGCGTGCGAAGATGTAAATGCACAGAGACGAGAGACAAGATATGTAGAAAGCAAGAAAGAAAGACAGGACAGATGTGAAGGAGCGACAGTGTGGATGTACAGATGTGATATAGATGTGCAGATGTGTGGGTGTGGTGAGGTGGAGAGGTAGATCTGCGGATGTGAGCATGCGAAGATGTAAATGTAGAGAGGTGAGGGGGTGTAGACGTAGATGCGTCGATGCAACGGCAGCGCAACGTCAACCTTAGTCGTGCAAGTACAACGCTGAAGAGGTTCAAATAGAACTGAAGAACGTACATGTCACACTGAAGTTTCCACGAAAAGGGCGACCTGAGAGTAAAGGACGTCACGATCACGACAGCGACTCGTGTATTCCAAGCGAACATCGTTTGTCATGAAGGTGAAGTACACACATACTAACGTCGCGATGACTCTTTTGTGGCGGCCACTTATGAGTAAGCAAAGTAGCTAAAATCTGTCAACCTCTCAAGAGAGCCGGGTCGTCGGGAGACATGACTCAGCTGCAGGGGCGCCAGAGCAGCCGCGAGAGATCCACAACTAAAGGTGTACTAAAAAGTCGCCAGATACTCGGCGTACTAAAGTTGTACTGCAAAGTCGCCAGTTCTCAGCTTCCAGCTCCACAGCTTGCTCCGCGTACTAAAGTTGTACTACAAAGTCGCCAGTTCTCATCTTCCAGCTCCACAGATTGCTCCGCGTACTGAAGTTGTACTAGAAAGTCGCCAGTTCTCATCTTCCAGCTCCCCAGATACTCGGCGTACTAAAGTTGTACTACAAAGTCGCCAGTTCTCAGCTGCCAGCTCCACAGATTGCTCCGCGTACTAAAGTTGTACTACAAAGTCGCCAGTTCTCATCTTCCAGCTCCCCAGATACTCCGCGTACTAAAGTTGTACTACAAAGTCGCCAGTTCTCATCTTCCAGCTCCCCAGATGCTCCGCGCACAAGAGTTGTACTACAAAGTCGCCAGTTCTCAGCTTCCAGCTCCCCAGATACTCCGCATACTCAAGATGCACTACAAAGTCGCCAGTTCTCAGCTTCCAGCTCCCCAGATTGCTCCGCGTACTAAAGTTGTACTAGCTCCCCAGATACTCCGCGTACTAAAGTTGTACTACAAAGTCGCCAGTTCTCATCTTCCAGCTCCCCAGATACTCCGCGCACTAAAGTTGTACTACAAAGTCGCCAGTTCTCAGCTTCCAGCTCCACAGATTGCTCCGCGTACTAAAGTTGTACTACAAAGTCGCCAGTTCTCATCTTCCAGCTCCACAGATTGCTCCGCGCTAAAGTTGTACTAGAAAGTCGCCAGTTCTCATCTTCCAGCTCCCCAGATACTCCGCGTACTCAAGTTGCACTACAAAGTGGCCAGTTCTCAGCTTCCAGCTCCACAGATTGCTCCGCGTACCAGAGTTGTACTACAAAGTCCACACGCACGATCTCCGCAGAGGGTTGCCCCGGACCGGGCCAAAACGCACTCTCGCCTGCATTTCGCGCCCTCGACGCGCACGATCTCCGCAGAGGGTTGCGCCGGACAAGACCAAATCGCACTCTCGCCTGCATTTCGCGCCCGCGATACGCACAATCTCCGCAAAGGGTTGCGCCGGACAGAGACAAAACGCGCTCTCGCCTGCATTTCGCGCCCTCGACATGCACGATCTCCGCAGAGGGTTGCGTTTCGTGGTGCTCCGGCGGCACCGCCCCTGGCCTTAAGAGAGAAAGTAAAGAAGAGCGAGAGGTGCAGATGTGAGATGTAGATGCGAGGATGTGAAGATGAGCAGAGATGTAGATGCACAGATGTGAACATGAGCAGAGATGTGGATATGTGAAGATGAAGATGAGCAGAGATGTAGATGTGAGGATGTGAAGATGAGCCGAGATGTAGATGTGCAGATGTGAAGATGAGCAGAGATATAGGTGAGAATGTAGATGTGCAGAGGTGAAGATTTGAAGATGTAGATGGACGTAGTTCTGCAGATGTTTCTTTACGAAGAACTGGCAGCTTTGTAATATAATATGTATCCCTGTGAAGATAAACACTCTGAAATCGGGAGCTTAAGCGTCCCAAATTAGGTCAAAACAGGTGTAATCTAAAAAGAGTAGCCTAGTGTGCTTGATTTTAGAGCAGAGGACTAAAGACATAAGAACATGTTGAGAAGGATTGCGCTGCTGATTTGTTAGCGAAACATACTTTTTCCCGAGAGCGTCTGCGCAGGGTTCACTGCAAGTTGCCAGTTCTGAGGCCACAGCTAACGTTGCCAGTTCTGAGGCGCGAGGGACCAGAAGCCGCTTCCCGCGCTACATTTATACTACGAAGTGGCCTGTCCTGAGGCCATGCCACACTCACGAAATCTTGTGGGACACCCTTGTAGGACACTTGTTGGACACGTTTGTGGGACACTTTTGTAGGACACTCTTGCGGGACACTCTTGTGGACACTCTTGTAGGACACTCTTGTAGGAAACTCTTGTGGGACACTCTTGCGGAACACTCTTGCAGGACACCCTCGTAGGACCTAGGACACTCTTGCGGGACACTCTCGTATGTCACTCTTGTAGGTTACTCTTGCGGGACACTATTGTAGGTCACTCTTGTAGGACACTCTTGCGGGACACTCTTGTGGAAAACTCTTGTAGAACACTCTTGTGGGGCACTTTTGTGGGACTCTTGTAGCGCACTCTTGTCGGACACTCTTATGGACCGGTCTTGTGGGACACTCTTGTCCGACACTCTTGTGGAACAGTCTTGTGGGACACTCTTGTAGGGCACTGGTGTCGAACACTCTTGTGGGACACTCCTGCACTCTTGCGGAACACTCTTGTGGGCCACTCTTTTGGAACACTCTTGTATGGCATTCTTGTGGGACACTCTTGCGAAACACTCCTGTAGGACACTCTTGTGGGACATTCTTGTAGAACTACTAAAGACTGGCGTTTTGTACGAGACTTGCTCCAAAGTCACACGTCAAGTCTGCAAAACGAGCATTTGGTACGAGACTTCTTCCCAAATTCACTCGTCAAGTCTCCAGAACGAGCGTTAACTCAAGCAGTTTCGCGATTCCAGCCCCTCCAAGCAACACCGGCTCACACGCCAATCCTAATGTCACAGCGACATTCACCTCCACCACAACTCGCAACCTCACCATTCCCTGCGCTGCCACAAAAATTTGCACGTCCACACCTCCAACACGCACAAAGTACTGCACCTGCCACGAAATGTGACCTCCGCCGCACCTCGCAACCTCACGACTCACTGCGCCTGCCACGAAAATTGCACTTCCACACCTCAAGACCCGCACAAAGCACTGCGCCTGCCATGAAAAGCCAAATCTCATATCATGATAGCTTCAGCCAAGGTTGCACCACGCAACATGTTTGGAGTGATGTCGACACGTTCTGAGCACACTCCCATCCACCAAGTCGCCCAAAGACACCACCCGCTAAACGCCAATCTCAATCTGACTGTGCAGAAAACTGCGGATCTCACAAAACGCTGCGCCTGCGCAGTCAAATCAACATCTCACGTTTCCACACATTTCCTCGCTATTTCACACGAATCTGACATGTCATGCTTCCATCCAAAACCCTCCAAAAGCTTCGCCCAGTTGACGACGGTTGCGAACGCTACTACAAAGGCTCTACCCCCAGACCCCCAGAGTTAAACGAGAACCCTTCGCTACGAGTTCAGGAATGGAGGACATCGCTATTAGGTTGGAGGCCATCGCTTCCCGTCGAACGCGAACTCGGGAGTGATGCTAAAGAGATTGGGTTTCGTGTTTCTCTCAAGGCAGTTCCATGCAATCGTGCAAAGGAGAAACCAGCCTTCGACCCAGCAGCATCTCTGCATTCTTGGAGAAGTCCACAGCCAAGTCTAGCGCAGCTTGCCTCGGCAGCTGCGGGCCGTTTGACCTACACCCGCCATAGCAGTCAGGATGGTTGCCACTGACATATCTTTGCCCATTCGAATCGTTGAAACAGCTCGATCTTGGATGGAAAGCTCGGATTCACAACTGCGAAATGAAAAACGAAAAGGAGATCAACATGCATCAATATCCAGCAATTCCAAAGCCTCTCCAATTCCACCCTTGCAAAAGTCTTGGCGCCCCAATTCACACCAACCCAGTGGCTGTTGCCCCTTGCGGAAGAGCTCGATGGCCTCCGAGGTCATCTGCTCCAAGTCCTCCAAGTCCATGCCCGGCAGCAGCCGGCAGGGTGCCGAGCGACACCGCGGGGGTCCGTGGTCCGCGAAGGCGGCACGCGGCGCATCGGGCAGGGCTTCAGAGTCCGAGAAGGACATGGTCTCTGCGGGTCCATGGGCAGGGAAAAAAGGTAAGTAGGTCTCAGTCGCTGTGTCTCGGTTCAGATGTTGCCCTTTCCTTTGCCTGCCAAAGTGGGGATGTTGCAATCATCTCTCTGTTTTGGGGGGGGGACGCTCCCATTTGAGTTTGCCATCACAAATTCATGCAGCTCAAACGCCAATCTGGTGTCGTTCTGATGCTGCATGTTCTGACAGAACATGAATTGACTGATCCCCTGGGTTGGGACATCTGAAACTCACCCTGGTCACTGCGTGTTCGCAGCTTGCCAGACATTGCACATTGCATCTTCGGAGCTCCACAGAGCCAAACAAGCGGTGCAAGGAGCGATGAAGATGATGGGGCACTTCTTTGAGTGTGTTGAGCCTCTCCTTCAAACCCCCCGAGGCACGGCGCCCTGCTTACTTCTACCACAGAAATGGACCTTGATCTCAGTTCGACAAGCCCAGTTCGGAGCACGATTCAGTGTTCCAAAACAGGATATATAAGTAGCAAAGTATCCTGCTTCTAGGTGTTCCTCCTTGTTTGAGTTCAGGCTTTTTCAGTAGCAAAACGTCACAGGATGCCGGGTTTTGCCCAGTTCTGTGCAGGGCTTGTTTTCTCCGTCTACACTTCCTTCCACTTGCTGTTGCTGATGTTTCTAGAAAATACTCCCAACCAAACCAGCTGTGAATTGCCCCATGCCGTCAGGTCATAAACAGCTAGTATTCAAAGAAGGCCTGTCCGTGCCATGCTACAATGTCCACTGACATGCTGCTCCTTCAAGTCGTTCGGCGGCGAATCGCTCGCTGAGCTCTTTGACCAACCATACGGACATGCGCTGAGCTCTTCGCTCGGGCGAATACGAGTCAATAAGCTTGATCTTCCTGGCAGCTCGAGGTCTGGCAGACTCACTCTCTTCAAGAAAAGCCCAGAAGGCACGACAGTGGAACAAAGACCCACTTGAGAGATGGAACACCAGGGAAAATGGCTTGGTTGAGTGGCTTTGTAAGGTCATCATTCTACCAATAATTGGCTTCTACCACTGACCTTGAAGCAACTTAAAGGAAACACATCCAGTTGATTGGGTAAGGCCAGATCTGGTCATGAGCTTGAAGTTCAAACCTTGACAGGTTGATCGATGGCTGATCCTCCCTCCACACTTCATCCGCACCTGGTGACCCAAAGAAAGATGGGATTCTGGTTGGGCTCGTCCTCGCGCGACGTCGGCCAAACAGGGACGTCCCAAGCGAGGGGCTGCACGCCACGCAGGTACGGCCCCCAAAATCCCCCGGGACCACGGTTTCAGCCATATGATGACTACAAGGGATCAGAGGGTCAATTCCTTCAACCAATGATATTCCTTTTGCGAATAGTACAGGGGTCAACCAGGTACCATAGGACCTATTGGTTGTACACGACTGAGGGTATCCCCTCTATTGATCAACCAAGGGCGTAGGTCAGGTCATCCATTTCTTTAACTCGCAGTCTGCGACTTCGACATCCCCTCGACATTCCATGAGGATTCGCTGTCTGGATTTGTGTCCTCCTCGTCCTCTTCCATGCCCAGGATCTGGTCGATACATTCGAAACCAGAGTCGAAGTGAAGTTCATCCCACAAAACGAAACTACTGATATAGGTAGATGGAGCTCGACCAGAGTTCCATGTGTATATATATATATACTGTATACTGTACTTCCACTGTGCTGCTCTGTGTGACATGTAGTGATTGGATGCGTTTGGTCAGTAAGACATCTACACCTCAAGTTCACACTACACATCTTCGACATGTGGTTCGCATGCAGCTGCTCCGCCAAAGACCGCTTCCAAATGCAATTCGAAGACGGAGCGACTGCACCTTGTAACCAGTGTAGATGAGGAAGAAGCCCAGGACGAAATGCGTGGCCCAAAAGGCATGCATCTGAGAGGTGAATGGGAAATGTGTGAGTTCCACTCATTTTGGACCATCCTCCAACCATCTCTTGAGCACAAGCAAATGCGAACAACCGGTTCCGTCCTTTGTTAGAGTATTGGCAGCTACAGTCCCGTTCCTAAGGTTATTTCTGTAGCCCTGTTCGTATCCAGGCAAACGCAGGCAGAACTCCTGGCACGAATTGTGCCCGAATGTTGTCTGCACATCTACTTTCTGGTCAAACCATCAGTTGGAATTTGAGCGAAGAGCCTTTTTGAAGGTACAACCAGCTTTTATGCCTCATTGAGATGTCAGAAAAGCCACGTTTGCGTTCACTCTTCTAAATTGCCCGCGCTGTGTCGACTGCCTTTGATCCTTCCCGAGCCAAGTCTCTGGCCTTCTGAATCTCAATCCAAAGCCGCTTGGATTCCAACATCTATTAAAACTCAGAACGCGATGGCCTCCACACTAATAGCGATGGCCTCCACCCTAGTAGCGATCTCAGAACACCCAGCCAACTCCGATCCTAAGCTGGGCTGCCCCCACCAGGACCTCACCAACTACGAAGAAGGCCATGCGAAAGACGATGGCACCTCTTCAAGTGTCAACATTGGCTTCTCATTCAGTGCGTCTTATCCCGTGAAAGTGCTTCTTTTTGTCCCTTCGAAACGTTCAGAACAGAAGGCGAACTCGCTTCCTTTTCGGCGACGTGAACGTTGGATTCCGTCACCGAGACACTGCACGAAAGACGGCAGATCTTTGGTCGATTCCATCTTCACCTGATCAGTCAAACCTTCCCTTGGTTTCAGTAATTTCCTCCAGGGGTGATTTCAGGGGTGATAGGCTATGGGTAATGGCCTTTCGAAGCTGCCTGCAAATTCATTCCACAAGCCCAGCATTACAGCAAGTGCATCGCTACTAGTAAGAAGAAGCTACTAGGGGCGCTCCTGGCCTTACTGCTAGTAACAAGGAAGCGAACGTTATATAGATGTATATAGCAAGGTGCTTGACCGGTTGTCCGGGAGCCCGGACCACAAATGCCCCAGAAGAGCGGCTTGTGCCTCAGATGTCCGGCTCCCCACCCTCAGAAGCGAACGAAGATCGGATGTCTCCTCTGCTTGGTCCGGCCTCAAAGCGAACAGAGATGGATCCTTACCACCAAGGCGCTTGTGGGAACTGGGAGTGTGGAAGATGAGGAAGATACTCCTGCCATGGTGTCGCACAAATTTGTGAAGACAAGGGATTGCAATTGTGCTGCGATGAAGGAGAGCAAATGTGGCAATAAGACAGGTCTCCACAAGCGTTTCTGGCTGGGATATTTCATCCAAAGACCTAAACCACTTGGTACACCACAGATCTCACAATAGCAATCAAGTCTTTCTGGGAGGGAGGTTGTGCTTCCTTTTGAGGTGAGGAACTTTCTGAATGTGTCACCTGAAGGTGGACCATCATCACCCTCGACCGTTCGGGGCTTGTAAATCGAAGTTCACTTTGCAAGAGAACTGCCCATCAGGCTGCGACCTGGCCCCAAACATATCAAAAAACATGTCCTATATTGTCTATATATATATATGTATATTTTTTTGCATTGCGGCCCAGTGCAACCTGAATACAAAGAGGTTGTCAATGGAAAGCATCCATTCCTTAGAATCCCGAGCTGTGCGATCACCCATGCAACGCTTGCAAGTACTGGCCCTGGTATTGGATGAATGCGCTGTACCCAAGTGTCCAAATTATATTGTTTCCGACTTGAGATTTTAGCTTTACTTTTTTTCCCCCAGCCCAAAGCTCGTGTCTTCTCGGGCACGTGCTAAGAGGTATCCAGTGCCTGGCAAGTTTGCCGTTGCGGATTGAAGCGATTCTGACACCCTGATAGGAATTGCTCTCAACAGTGGCATCGTTTGTTCTTGGATACCCCTTCTCGGCGTCCAGGACATTGTGAACACATGTCGCTCAGGGGCGGACCCCAGTCAAAGGCTGCTTCTCTGCCACGCGACCAGTACACGTAGCCGTTGAAATTCCCGGCACAAAGAAGCCTTGCAGCGTTCTGTGTCAACATGGAGGGATTGAATCCAGACCAAACTAGTTGATGTCCTCGGCCTGATTCATGAAAAGCCTTGGCTTTCTATGATGCAGTGCTGTCTCACATGGCGTTCCTCTCGAAATGACACCTCTCCTTTTTCTTTTCGCCTAAGCACGCCTGCAAAGTTCAAGAGCTTGATTCATCGATTTTCCGTCACAGTGTTTGTTACACCCAAACACGTCAATTTACGGTACATAAAAATATGACCAGCAAACGGGTCGTTGGAGGTCCTTTGAAACGGCCTGGAATGACGGGCGGCAACATGATATATCATGATGTCCAGCCCTGCGAAGCTCGAGCTCTGTGTACTCAAAGCTCCGAAACGGATGAAATCGAAACGCCTCCCTCAGGTCAAGAGCTAAAAGTTTGACTGGTGAGCACAACCTGAATTCAAATTGATTGTGAATGCCAAGCATTTTCGCAGGGTCACTGCTCACATGCTGGTGCAACTTTGGCAAGACGCACCTAGCATCTGCAAGTTCTTTTCTTCCTCTAAGTCCTCCAGCACCTCCTTGGCGCTCGGCCGCTCCGATGCCTTGACCGCCCAGCCTCGCTCGATGAGGCCGCGCAAACGGCGGTGGCACTGCCGCGCGTCCGGCCACGGATCGTCGCCCCGCGCGAAGCGCTCGAGCAGCTCCGCGGGTCCTTGGCCTCTGACAAAGAGGTGGTAAAATGGCCGCTTCCCTGAACTCAAGTAGAACATGATCGAGGCCAAGGTATAGATATAAACTTTCTCATCATACTTCTTTGTCCTAACCACTTCTGGAGCCATGTAGTTGTATGTACCCACTCCCAAGGTCATCTGCGTCTCCCCCTTTGGTCGAGTGCTTCAAGTCGTTCATGTCCACAGAGCCATCCTCACAATCCCAAGCTTTTGCCATGAGCTTGCTGGTGCCGAAATCTGTGACCTTTATCTCCAAGGTCTTGGTGAGCAGCAAATTTAGTGGTTTCAAATCCCGATGAATCACTGGGAACTTGTGGAGAAAGGCCAATGCCCGAGCCACTGCCATAGACCATTCGATGGTTCGCCATAAAGGTGGGTCATAGTGGGCCACTTGCTGCTCATCCCTCATCTTGTACAGGTAGTGTTCCAGGTCACCTTCCGGCACTCTGTGACGAACATCACCGGCATGTCATTCTCCAAGCATGCCCCCAAGAAGAGCACCAAATCAGGATGCCGAAGGGACGACAAAAGTTCAATCTCACGCAGGAACTCCGGAGGAACACATGTGCTCGATCTCTGCTTCCTCCGGGCTGCAATCCTCCTTCTTCAACGGAACGTCGTCCAATTCGTGCAATTCTCTCGCCAGGGACAGGTCAAAGCTCTTGGATCTTTTCATCTTGTTCATGATCACCCTCTGCTTCATCTTGATGCATTTCACCACCACCGTGGTCCCGTGCCAATCGGCCAGGTGCACCACACTCTTCAAAGTGCTTCCAATTTCACGTTGGAGTTGGAGCTCTGAGGCCTTCAGCAGCCAGGAGCTTTCTTGTGCCTTTCGTTTCAAGATGGGTTGGAGTTCCACACCATTCTGCTCCAAGAGCTTCTTGATCCCCCAGTTCTGCACCAACACAGCCATATCCATTGGTGTCATCGCCACGTGATCCATGGCATTGGCAATTGCACGCTGTGCCAACAGGAGCTTCACCACCTCCTCGGCACCTCTTGCGGTGCCTCTGGAGGCCAAGTGCAAGGCCGTTCGGCCTCCATGGTCCCTGCTGCCGACGTTGGCCTTCTGAAGCAGAAGCCGCTGTGCATGCGCGGCATCTCCCGCAGCCGAGGCCGAAAGCAAGAGCTTCTCAGAGAACTCAGAGCTTCTCTGCTCAGAGACTTTGGTCAAAACACCCAAGTCAGGATTATTCTTTGCGCACAGGAGCATGGGGAGCTGGTTGTCTCTGTCCTCCATGGAGCACAAAAGAAGTGGTTTGGAAGAGACACTGATGTCTCCTCACAATCTATAAAACTTGAGCCCCCCTGAGCCGTAACCTATGACACCTCTCTCCAGTCAAAAACACAAACGCTTTCTTTTCTGATGAGGATGGTGGTGAGTCGGAGTCCACTGCATCTTGTGAGAGATTGTACAAATTTGTACAATGTATATATATATATACAGTATAAATATATACAGTATATATATATATATATCAGTCAGCAGCTCATGTCTTTCAACGTTTGCTCTCGTCCTTTTAGGTCTCCATTCTACATCCTCAACGGCCAAAGTGCCCACCACATCTCTCCCATCTCAGCTTCCCGCCAGAAGACGCTATAGCAGAGTGCCTTTTGAAAGCCTCGGCACATCGCGCAGCGCACGGCCAAGCCTCGTTTCCAAACCCCGTTCCACGATAAGAGACGAGATCTTGTTCCACGGGGAGCGTTCACTGGGCAGTCCAATACTTGAGCAAACGAGCAAACCTCCCAGGTCCTGCTGGAGCAAAGCCAAACAACTGAGTTCCGAGGCTCATGTTGCCGCCTCGCGAAAGCGCAATGGCTGCGAAGAAACGAATGGAAGACCGATCAACTGGATGCATGTTGAGAAACAAATAACTTTAGCTGGCACTGCCTAGAAGCCTGCGTTGGTGGCTTGCTGGTTTGGTGGAAGAAGTGGCTTGCTGATTTCCCAAAATGGAACAAGCTAAAGGATGTTAAAGCTGTCGGGTAAGAAGATTTCTGTGCCTTGCTCTAGAAGCGATTCGCTTCTCGACTCCAAAAGAGACTTTGGTATTCGCGGTCTCGCTGTCGGGCCGTATTTGCCAAAGAGGAGGAGGTTGTCCACACAGACCAAAGCCTTGGAAAATCGGCATGATCATTCTTCACGCATCCTCCAGCGCATGACCTAGTGGACAACATGCCAATGATGTGGGTTTCAAACTTGCCTAATTGTTCAAGCTATGCTTAGGCCAAACCCTCCTTGGACTCCCCCTGCTTAGGCCCAAACCCAGGATTTCCCCACACGCACCATTCCATGGTCACACGTGGGGTTCATAACCACTCGTGGCGACGCAAACCAGTAAGACTGCAAATTCACCGATGCTACAAGATGCTACAAGCGCAGTACTTCCATACTTCTCTTTTGAAGGGCCTTTCTAGAGGTGCCTGTATTCAGGAAGGCTCATCTCGAAGGCGAAGCAGCGAAGCTTCCTCTTTTGTAGAACATCTGTGGATGACAACCATGTCTAGCTCCCAATCAGTCAGCACAACCATTCTCCAGCTCGTCTCCAAAAACAAACTATCTAGTACAGTAAATTGTCTCCAAGTCACCACAAACGTCACACCAAAGACAGTCCAGTCAAATAGGTCCTGGATGCGACCAGTGTTGTCCGGCCAAAAATTGGGGAGAGTAGTCGAACTCATGAGGATGTATCATGGAACCATTGCTCACCCTGACCAGTGAAAGCTGCCCCCCTTTGACACAAGCTGTCTTTAGTCGTCTTTAGAAAGCATCATCAACAGTGACCCTACCAGCCCTACCTTGATGGGGAAACTCCAAGCGGTTTATGCCTTTATGTGTGATAGCAAACCCTCCACCAGTCAGGGGCAGAGCCCTAAAGCTACAACTTCGCCTGAAGTAGAGCCCTCCACGCTAAAAGCTTTGCACCTAAAAGCCATGCGAATGGTTAGCTGTCATTTATTGTAGCAAGTGGATTGTCTGAGTATACCCTCAGACACTCGACACACAAAGCACATTCTCCAGAGATCGGTAAAATTATGCTACATCAGGTTGTTGTCGGCTCACTTGGCAGCAATTCAGAACAAGAGAAATGTTCAGGACAGGATAGAACTGATGGAAGTGATGGAACTGGCGGCCTAGAACAGGTGAATTGGATAGTTAAAGGATCAAATCATCTGTTCTCGCAAAACCCTGCACTCAACCCGAGCCATTCGATTTTTGGGGAGTTCTCCGAGCCTCATAGCGAAAGAGCGTCACCTCCTCAACCTTGGGCCTAGGTGGAGTTTGTCATGCTGTTGATTGAGGTCAATATAGGTATACATTGCATTGTTTTCTGCCCAAAATCGCAAAGGCCTATGCACGCAAATCCTATTTCCAGCTCCATGTAAATCCAAATCTTCCAAGAGCCTCAAGAAAGGTGGCCTGTAAAAAAAAAATGGCTGGGTTGAGTTTGATCCCCAAGGCTGTGCAAGGCTTGGGTTGTTTCATGTTTGGGAGCGCTCTTTTTGCCCATTTAGCGGTTGCAGGCTTCGTTGCATCGCCTGTGCCGAAGAGTTGAATTGACCAAAAACAGCAGCCCTCCACGCTGTGCAAAGCCCAATGAAGCTTTTCTGATAGTCTCCCTGGTGCCATTCGTTTGAGAACCCTACGATGCAATCATTGACAGGCTGATCCAATCCACCATCAAGGCGTAGAAGCGATTCCACCATAGAAGCTACTCACTATTTAAAGAACAAAGTACACCACCGTAGACCCCAAACAAAAGAATAGCTATTGAGTATTTGCCAGAAGGCGGACACTGGGAGAACAATGTCACGTTTGCTTCTAAGCACTTGCCAGAAAGCAGGCACACAGGCCAGACTGTGAGACACATGTAAAGAATGGCCCTCAGGAGTTGTCAAAGGCGGACACACTAGCCCAGACTTAGAGATATATTTATATATTATATATATATATAAATGTAAAGAACTGCTACCAAGGAGTTGCCAGAAGGCGGAAGCACTAGCCCAGACTGAGGCACACTTAAAAGCATTGAGAACCCCAACAGGTTGGGGAAGAACGAATCTCCTGATCCCAACTTCAGACCGGACCATCCACCACATCTTGAAGTACATGCTAACACCCAAACGGACCCTGAAGGGCACAGGACCACAGGACCTGGGGAGCCTCCCGCCTGGGTACGACCGCTTTCCGTCCAAGACCGACGGAGGGAGCATCTGCGAGCCTTCCGTTTCACCAACTCCAGGTCGCACATGATTCCGTAGTGATCCTCGGGGATGTCAAGGGGCCCCCACAGTTGGGGGCCCCCCACAGTTGGGGCCTTCGGTCGGTCAAGGCGAGGGATGTGAGGGCGCGTCCGTCCGCCAAATCAAGGAAAATGCAGGGTTGATGACTGGATGGTCCGATTCGGTCCGATTGTTAAGATTCTTTAGGCCCAGAAAGGACCTAACCCCCACAGTCCCTCAAAACGACGCTCCAGAACCATGTCAGGGGCTTCAAGAATCTCCAAGTTGCCGTTCCGCGTTTCCATCGATCTACTCCGTTCCCCAACCCCGCTCTGAACTCCACTTCATCCTGCCAAGGCTCTGAAGGGCAAAGACTCAAGGGCTGGGGGATCTCCCCAAACTCCACGGGGATCAACGACGGCCTTGGATCAGCCAGAAAGCCACAACGCTGGTGTGCGAGCCACATGCAGCCCCTGATGGCGCCTAGAGATGGTTTTGACCGAAAACGACGCGACAGTTCAAGAACAAGCAGATCATGAGGACGTCGACCGGGGGGTCTTCTACCAGTTTCTATTTTGCTTCTATCGTATTTTGTGTCAACTGGCTGCTCTTCCATGCAGAAAGGCGGCATCTCCGGATCGGTGTCATCACTATCTTCAGCATGGAATCCTGCGCAACACCCAAAATAATTTCTTGGGTTGGATCGATGGAGCGGTTGCGTTGAGCAGTTTCTAGGAAGCACTTGATGCAGGCTTGGTTCACATTCGCACAAGCACCCCTATCAAGTGCCTGATGAGTGGCATTGCCAAAAGCAGCATTATCATAATATGATTCATATACACAATTATACATATTGACAATATTCAATATTGGCAACAAAGAGCACTACGGAAAAAGAAATGTGCCGTAGATAAATCCCAGTTGGAGACTCCTCCAATTTTGAGATCTACCAAGCCAAAAGTCCCCAAAAAATATGCACTTGTCTGACTTGTCTGACTTGTCTGTTACACTTACACTGCACCTTCTCCACAGCTTGTGGCATCCCCTCCTCTGGACAAGCCGCTGCGGACTCGAGTGCCATGCGGCGAAGGAAGGTCGCAGGCTTCCGTACCCAACAGCTCAGGCTTCGAGGGCACGAAGCGAGTCGCAGCGCCTGGGGATCGGCCGATGGATCTGATCCACAGCTTGGAGGTCTGACCTACAAACATGGGGAGGTCTGATCCACATTTGTCATCGTGCCTGGTCCATCAGTGTTGCCACAACAAATCTTGACTGGTGCGGTCCCACCTCCAACAATATCGTGGCAAGCACTTGAACAACTGAGGTCTTACGTCCCAGGAAGACGTGTGCATCTTACACAGTCTTACACGCACGCACTCTTGACTTACCTGTAAAGCATGGTGTTGGATGTGCGTAAGATGCGCAGCAATGTGTCGGATTTTGTGAGGCACGAAGCGATGCGTCGGTTGCTCATATTGAGCGTTATGAGCACAGTCACACAAATTCCGAAGCAACCGTTTGCTGAAACGACATGGAATTGCGGTCAAAATGAGCAGAAATCGAGAAGGATGCAACAAAGCCCAAGGGGATACTGATAGTTTTTTTTGATATGGCACAACATCCGGCATTTTACAGTGCAAATGAGTAGGTGCCAACTTTGATGAGGAATGTTGCCACATGGAAACGAATATGTGTGACTTGCCAAAAAAGTGCACAACTACTCGCGCTGTTGTTACCCCGCGAGCAAAACTACAACAGTACGATCATTGAATTCATCACCATTGCATTACAACAGAAAACATGTTTGACAAGCTCGAGATTACATACCAAAAATCTCCGCATTTCATGCCTTGTCGCATCCCACTCGGATTAAGTCCACAAAGCAGACGACTCGTGACCCCCCCTGCAGGACAGTGGAAACATGCACAAACTCTGTGGTGTCTGGGTGAATTGACCCAAAGATCCAAAAGCAAAAAATAGGGTGAACATCAAAAAAGAAGTGAACCTCAAAACCCAAAAAAGCTTTTGTCTCTAAAACCTTCCAACGACCTGGACCGATCCCGCAATGCGATGACCCGACTGCCTGTGACCTCCTTGCTATAGATCCGATCCAGCCGCTCGGCGCGGTGCCCGAAGTCAGAGCGTGGCATGGTATCTGGGGCCGTCGTCGGTGCCCGTGCCCGCGGGGCTGCGGAGAGGACCGCAGCTACGGGTTGGAGGTAGGGCATCACTTTACCGAGAGCGTGGCATCACTGGGCCGCGACCCAAGAATTTCAGGTGGCGACATCACGCCGCAGGGCATTGCAGTGCTTGTTCTGGTCAGATGGGTTGTGGTTTAACTCCAAAGTATTAGCAGAACTGCATGGGCAATGATGGTGACTCACCTTTTGGGATAACTTTGAGGCATTTCGGCCATGCAGAGCTGTGCACGAACCTGTTCCCACCTGTGCACCCATCCAGCATGAGAAACAGTGAGAAAACCCGATCCCTCTCACTACCTCCAGCATACATTCTCATACTACCTCCAATCATCCTTCGCTCCATCTCATCCGAAGTCGCTTCAGGTCACCGCTCCGACCACCGACGTCGGGACACTCCGACCACCGGGGTCGTCTCAGACCGAGGCACGTCCAGACTGTGCGGTGCAGTCGTGGTAACCAGCCTAGCCAGGTAGGGACTGGGGGAAGAAGCGGTAGGGACTGGGCAGGTCCAGCAGTGGTCCACGCAAACGGTGCCTCATCCCCTGGAGTTTGGTTGTGTCTTTTTTTTCTGTCCAGCAGACTCCTTGACAAACTGGCTGAGCATTGTGAAGTGAATGATATGTGCTCGGCTATTTCTGCGAAAACCTCTTCATAACATGTCGACGTCATCTTCTTCTGACCGTTTCAAGTTTACTGCCTCTGTGTATAAGCGGGACACTGCGTAGGCTATTTGTTGGTTGACTCGTGCTGTCAAGTTCACACCCTTGAGTTTCAAGAATGCAAGACCCCATGAGCAAGGACGCTACGAACGTAGCTCCTGGCCTTACTACTAGGAACAAGAGGACGTAACCGAAGATCTAACGAAGGGCATCGCGAACGGAGACGGAGCGAGACCCGATCGAACGGAGGCTATATACGAGTAGGTCGCTCCTGGTGATCCCATGAGTTTCCCTCCCCAAACTCACCCCTCTCTTCGTCCAACTCTGCGATTCGCTCCACCTGTCGCAGCTCCACCTCCTCCACGGCGAAGTCCCCGAAGTTCCTGATCCGTCGTGGGGTGTCTCTGATCCGTCGTTGCCTGCTGAAAGTAGGCTCAGAACGGAGAAAAAAAATCGATGTGAAAGAGCAGTCAAAGAAAGTGAATGAGAAGACCGTTGGCACACGCATTCTGTGACAGAATGCCATAGACTGCCAGTTGTCCAGGTCTGATCACAGCTGAGTGTCATATCTCCAGCCAAGATCACATGGCTTGCTCCGTCCAGGACTTCAACGATGCACCTGGACCAGGGCTCAGTTGTGCCAGGGAAGAGATTCGAAGCAAAGTTCATTGTTTTCCCCTAAAATAGCGTGTGAATCCCTTCTCTTTGGCATGCCCAGCCGGTGAATTTGAAGGAACCCTTTACTTTGAATTCCAAACGACGTGCAAAGCTGCGCCTCTGTCCGGACCGAGGCATCGGAGCCGGGGCTCGCCCCTCCTCGCCTGAGCTGCTCTCGGCGAAGGTCCTGGGAGTCGGATTCCAAATGCCTCACACCGTGAAACTCGGATCAGCACGGGTTTGACCCCGAGACGGTGCTGGACTTCCAGACAGAGAGCGTATCAAAAAGAGCGAACAGAGAGCGAACCGTGCTGCAGGGGTTTGTGTCCCGTGTGACAAGGAGATCCTTACAAGAGCAAGTGGTAGTCCGTGTTCATTTTGCCAAACACGCCTCTTTACCAACCAAGTGGCACAGTGGCCACCCAAAGCTCCAACTCCTCCATGGGCAGCTTGGCCAAGAGCAAGGACCTGAGCTCGCTCACACAAACTGGAAGAGTCCGAAGACCTCAAAAATACCATAAAAATACATAAAATACCATCTATTAGCCATAAGCTCCCGTAGCTTCGCTTCCAAAGCCCCCGTCCTCTGCCTTAGGCCTATGGACTGCCTTCAACCCCTCCCGACCACCGAGGCTCGGCAAGGCGCCGTCCCATCCGCGTGGGCAAGCGCCAGAGCTCCATGGCCGTGGCGTGCAGCGTGCGCTTCAACAGCAGGACGACCCCATAGGCCAGCTGCGCACCTGAAATTTGTGAATCGGAGCAGGTTCGCAAGGAGAGTCGTAACTTTTCCAAAAAAGGGCAGATCGAAGGCAGACTTGAAAGGGGAAAAAAGAAACAAACAAGAACTTGTTTGCAACGAGTCAAGAACGAACCAACCTCCATAACCTCCGTAGTTCCAAGCAGAAAAAGGACCAGGCTTCATCTGGATTGTTGAAGGAGCCCAGGGGCGTCCCACCTTGCAGGGTGGTGCCCACAGTGTCTGAGAGGCTGTAGCGCTCTTGGACAAAGTGTTCCTGTCGATTGTCTTGGTGTGGCTGCACACGTGGACGACGGAGTGTCGAACATGGATGGTTTTTGACGTGGAGCCGGTCATGGGTCTTGATAGGTGATCTCCCGTCTTCCAGCGAGAAACACCCTGCTGTCATCCAAACCAGAAAGACACTGGCATCTCACAAATTGCAAAGAAAGGAAATCGAGAAATCTGGAAATCCAACGCTTTGAATCAGCTTCAATAGCTCCTCTCGCAACCACGCGAGGAAGGTTGGAGTCACCTGTCATGGAGTCCAGATACGCATTCTCGGGGCTGGGCCGGGCGGCCGGGCTGGAGTCTAGAACTGCACACCGGGCTGGGCTCTAGTTCAAAATGTCGCACTTTGTTTTGTGCAAACAGAGAGTGCGTGCATTTTAGTCATTCATGGAAGCACAGCACGCCTCATGCTCAACTGAAGCAAACCAACTTGCAACACCCTCACCTCCTGCAAGCATACGACGTCTGCATCCTCATCATCCAGTATCGCAAAGAGCGCCTTTGCCCCTGCAAAACAAATCGATCGCTTGTGCAGACTACAGCACCGTCGAGGAAGTCTGGTCAACAACTTCTCAAAATCTCTGGCACCTGCGATGTTCGGGGCAAAAACACTGGATGCGATTTAGTAGTTTGTCGAGACATAAATCTTCAAACTTGTGTGGTCAATATGGTCAGTTGGCTTAATTTGCTTACAACTTCCTATCAGGAATCTTTCAGCTGTTGTTTTTCTCCACGCAAAAAATAGCTCCTTTATCTGCTGTCTTCGACTCGTGAGTCCTTTCGGCGACCCTCCCGTTTCCGACTCGTAAGTCACTGACGGCTCCCCTCCAGTCGCGTGTCACTGGCATCCTCTAAGTCCCGCGCGGATCTCCTGGCGGAACTCACCTCGCAGTGGTGAAACGAAAGTGGCTAGGACGAAGCCTCCAACTGAACACACCGTGGAGGTGGATCTCTTCAAGCTCACTGTAGAAAGTGTCTGGTTTGAAATTGTTAGAAAATACTCCAACAACTCCGCCTCGTCCAACCAATGATGGAATTCCAACCAATAGCAAGCACTGACGTGTCGTACCGTTCCGGGTCAGGAAGGAGGGGTCTGCTATTTCCCTGTAAGGTTCGGTCTATGCTACTCAAGCTGAGCGGCTAAACCACACATTGTAGCTCACCACACGCAGCGTTTGCGTGGCCGTGTTCAGCTCAGCGGCCGCACTCGCATCTACCTGCCCCAAAAGTGACTCCACAAAAGTCAGCTGCGACGAAAGGATGTCTTGGATTCTGGTCCCGGCGAACTTGAAAAAACAAGAGGTCTTCCCGTAAAACTCTGTGCACATGTTAAAACTTTGCGATTGCACTTACAGGAAAATTGCCATCACACTATCACACAAGATGAGCGCGACTAGTGGCCAAGAAAGAGTAGAGCGCTTTGAAGATACTATCCTCGAGATGTTCAGCCACTTGTGCAGGACAAAACTGACGAGAAACGTGAGGAGCCTGTTTCGTCTACCGAATGGATCAACAGCTGACCCTATACACTTGTGGAATGCTCAAGGTCTCGCTTGACACAATCACACACACTCCTTCCAACTTTGCAACATAAGCAATGATCCAACTCTCCAAGAGGCTGGTGTTTTTCTCAGAGATGTTCCACACATCTACACCCCAAACACAAAAAAAAGGACCTTTCTTTCAACATTGCATCCACCTGCTGGGCCAACCAGCGAGAGCTGCTGGGCTCAAAGATCTTGGGCGTGAGACGTGAGAGTCCCTTGGCCTCGAGAGGTCTTCTGTCGTCGGTCGGCCAGTCGTGAGGGCCATGATGGGCCATTGCTACAAACCATCTACAACAAAAAAACTGGTTTTCTTTGTAGCAAACCCTCTATTCTTGTTTGAGGGTGGCCACAAGGACAGAGCTCGGCAAGCAAGACCGCCAACAGCACCATGGCTTTGAAGGCCGAAAATCCCTGCCACTCGGTGAAGAAGGAGTCACAACAAAGCTGACCCCACACCCATACACCCCATCAAAAGTGGCCACCACCACATGGCCATCGACCAAGACTCCCTTTGCTCCAGCTCTTCCATTCTCAGAGACGTCAAAACTGGACGAAACAATTGGGTGATTGAAGAGTATTGACTCGGCATTCACGAACGACAAACCCCTCCTCATAAGCCCCCTGAAATCGGTTGGAGTCCTCCCCAAACACTCCCCTCACCGGGTCCGCGCGGGTCCGCGCGGTTCGGAGCCCTGTAAGGCTGCACCGAGAATCTCCCCATCCCTTCTCGCCCTCATTTCACTCCTCTCAAAAGTCAGCAGGTTGAAAGCGGCTTGTTACTACTAGCTTCTTGTTACTACTAGTAAGGCACTTGTTACTAGTAGCAATGCACTTGTTCCTAGTAGCTTCTTGTTACTACTTGTATGTGGCAAATTGTCCTCCCAACAGATCGACAGTATATGAACTAGTCTGTTTGGGATTGGTTAAAGTCGAGTCCTGAGAAGGGTACAAACAGATTGCCTCATGGGGTACAGGTACGGATGGATTCCTTTTTTCTTTGGTGAAGACCTCCAGAGCTTTTCTGACCTCACTGCGAGTCCGGTCGCCTGGTCTTCCAGGAACTGCGGCGGCTCCTCCATGCCCACCACCTACAGAGGGACCCTCATGGCAGCCATAGCACGGTAACCACGAACACCTCCGTCTTGGTGAGTTCACAGGAGGTTTGGCTTTGGAGATCGACTTGTTTGCAGCTTCTTTTCGGGCCTTGTCGCTGAGGATTGGAGCTTCAAGAGTTTGTAAGACGTGTTCATGTGTCTCTGTGTCTACTCCTCCCTTCTCACCCACCAAAATGACCAAAACCTTGAAGTCTGCGCCCCGTTCTACCGACACTCAGTTCCAAGGAGCACCTCTTGAGCGAGCAGCCCTTCCGCTGAGCGGCGCTCTAGCAGCACCTGACCATCCCGCTGCCTGCAGGGCAAATCTGGACAATCCGACCAAGCTACTGCAACAGGGCAACGAATTCACCGAGGAAAGACCCTCCTCACTTACCTCTAGGCTTGGCTTCATTGCGATGAAAAAGCCGCTCCACTGGCTCAAAAGCTGGAGCTTGATCTAAAAGGATTCGTCTCAGCATTTGACAAGTGTGTCATAAGTTTTGCTGGTGTCTTCCTCCTTTGTCGAAAACCGTTTCACACCTCTCTGCATGCAAACCAGCTCAGACCCACTCTCAACTCTGAAACCTATCAAAACAAACATCTGTGAAATCAAGCCAGCAGTTTTCCTGGCCAAGCCCGTGGAGCAGTTCAACGGCCAAGCCGTACAGCAGGTCTTTATGTATGCAGAGGGAAATTGACATTGAGATCAGGAGGGCAGCTGTTGCTTTGGGTCCTTGGGGCAAGATACTAGAGGTCCAAAATGGTCCAAATCTATGATAATGCAGACTCTGAGTTAATAACCCCCCCGAGGCAGAAGAGGTGTTTCAATGCAAATGTGGAGGGTGATTATATATAATGAAGCGATTGTAGGTTGGAGGCCATCTCTATTAGGTTGGAGGCCATCGCTAGTAGTTACTCAAGCTTAGTAGTTGCTTAAGAAGTGTCTACATTGAAACCGCCTCACCCAGTGCAGCCACTCCACCGCCTCACCCGGGTCTCCGTCGGTCGAAGGATGACCTTCTGAAGGTCCGAGAGGAGAGGCCTGCACGATCGACGACGTCACAGAGACTCAACCACTTGTGTCGCAAGAGGCGACAGCAGTGAGCAGTGGCGAGTATCCAAGACTTGATCGGATTCCGTGGATCAAACAAGTAGTGACAAAAGTATGCCGGTCAAAAATCGAGTGCGCGTATATCCATTGCAAATGCAACCCTGACTTTCTTCTGGCCGATTTGTGACTTGCGCACAGTGTTAATAGTCAAATTAGGCTCCAGCCTCAGTTTATCCGGCGAGCTCTTTCAATCAAGCAATGCAACAAACTAGGCCACATATCCTCAGCTTCTGAGCCCGTTCCTCTCCGGATCTGTAACTTCCGCAGCTGGAACAGATTCTGTACAAATGCAAATCAAGATCAATAAATGACCTCATGGAAACATCTACGGTCCGTAAGGTCAACTCGTGTGAGTTGCACACTGGGCACTCCACATATCCTGTGTTTGGAGTTCCCCGTATAAGTCTCTATGCAAAGCCGCGAACCCAATCTTTACATCGGCGCAAAAGTTCAGTTCTACTCAGAGTCTCTAAATCACACCTGGCGCTCAAGCGGATGTCTTCAAGCTGCATGAACAGATGTGGATGATTTTGGATCCTCATCTAGTCACAGTCGATGACCAACAAAAGAACAGATCTGCAGAAAGGAAAGCAAAAGCCCGTGCCAAAAGTACACCGACAAGAGCCCTCGCCAGGTGAACGATAGCTCATGATTCAGCAAGAAAAACACTTCGCTACTGTCACCCTTGACCCATCAGTTCACTGACAATTTCCGGGTCAACCGCTATGTCGGGCCTTCAAAATCTTCGGTGCTGTTGCTCAAACGACGTCCAGGACAATACTGACAAGTGGGCTCAGGCACACAGCGGCAAAAGCCACAATCCTTGTATCCCAGGGGGGCAGCCAATGATAGTGGACGGTCGAATGTGGCTTCCTGGGGAAGGACTGCTGGGGCGGCTGTATGCACCGGGGCAGTATTGGCAAGTGGGTTCCGGGACACAAAGGCAAGTGCCACAATCCTTGTAGACAAAGGGGCAACCAATCACTGCGGATGGTCGGATGTTGCTTGGTTGGGATGGGGGTGGAGAGGGAGAGCTTCCACAGTATTGGCAGGTGTTCTCAGGAACGCATTTGCAATTGCCGCAGTCTTTGTAACTGGCGGGACAGCCAATCACTGTGGATGGACGGCTGCTGATTGGGGATGTAGTTGGAGGGGAGGGGGTTGGGGAGGGGGTGGGGGATGGTGCTGGGAGTGAGGGCCGAGTGATAGCACCAGGACACCACTGGCAGGAGCTTTCTGGCACACAAAAGCAAGTGCCGCAATCTCTGTAGGCTGCTGGGCAACCGATGATGGTGGATGGCCGGCTGTTCACAATGCCTGTGGTGGGAGCGGGCAAAGCTGGCCGTGCTGGAGGATTGGCAGCAAAGGGACACCACTGACAAGTGGCCCTTGCCACACAAAGGCATGTGCCGCAATCAACGAATCCGGCTGGGCAAAATGGCACCACTGATGGTCGAGCTACAATTTCTGGAGTTGGTCTCGGTGAGGTAGACACCACTTGTCCCGGCGGACCTTCTTGCCAAGCCCCTGGGCAGTTGCCACAAGAAGATTCCGGCACACAAAGGCAGGTTCCGCAGTCTACAAAGCTGGCAGGGCAGTATGGAACCTCTGATGGCCTTGACACGATGTGTCCTCCATGTGTGGGATTTTGCCAAGCTCCTGGGCACAAAATGCAAGTGGATTCCGGCACGCAGAAGCAGGTGCCGCAATCTCTGTAGGCTGCTGGGCAGTACGGCACTCTCGATGGTCTGGAGATGATGCCCGGCGACGTCAAACCGTCATAGCTCGAAGTGGTGGTGCTCGGCATGGGCTCTGGCGTAGTCACCTGCGCACGAACTGACGGGAGAACTGACCGAAGTGCTGTGAAGTCCCAAGTGGTGCACATTCAAGCAGTTCATGCCGATTTCGTAGAGCTTCGTTCGATCACAATATTTTGTCCTTACACTTACACCACTATCTGTCTCGCAACGTGACCAAAGAACGCCTGCACAGGGCTAGTGGTCACTGGCTCGGTCCCGGGAGTGGTCGCCACCGCGGCTGCTCCTGGCCATCCAGTCTGTCAAAGTGCTTCAATGAGTACCTCCCAGCTTCCCTTTTCTGGAAGGCTGCCAAGTCCATCTAACTAAGTTCATACGACACGGACCAAAACCCCCGTTCCTCCTTTACTCCCACTCTGAGAGGCTGTCCTGGGCACCAATTGCAGCTACTTTCCGGCACCTCGCACCAGCCAAACCGTGGTTTCGACAAAAGAGTCGACCTCTTCAATGCGTCAAGGATCTAGAAGGCTTTCTTGAGAACCAGAAGTGCTACTGCCAGAGTGTAATCAGTTCTTGTACTGACCTCAGACATGTGCCCCAAACCCCGCAGCAACTTCTGCCAGGAGGCGCAGCTGCATTGGCCACAGTCCTTGTTCGTCTCCGGGCATCCAGGAACCTCCGAGGGGCGCATGGAGACATTCCTTGGTGCTGAACTTCCCCGACTGAGGCTTCAGAGGGGCGCCTGAGCCAGTCTAAGCCAACCTATTCCTCAATCTCAAAGCTTTAAATGTCAAATTCTGATTCCTGCACTCGCACCGCAATACGTGCTATAACGCCATCAGAATTCAACTTTGGGCAAGGCACGGCAGTGGGTTGGGCAAAGGCTGGACGGGATGCTCTCCACAACTGGAGCAAACAGCCTCGAGCATTTCATTGAATGGAGTGGGTTCCCAACACTCGGGTAGACGGTAGTCAGGCTTTTCTGCTAGGCTGCCAAATCAACAAAAAGCTCAAAGTTGGCCAAACGGCTGAGTGTGCCGGCCCACAGTCACAAAAGGCTCAAAAACCTTCTGGCAATTTCTGGCATGCACCTAGTCTTGAGGGGTAGTCCAAAATGTCCAAAATTCAGGTCATTGCATCCGTCCATTTCAGAAGCTCTTGAGTCCAGACACATGGCCTCTGGAACGCAAAGGCAAGAGCCACAGTCTTTGAAGTTCCTCAGGGTTGATGGCATGTCAAGTCTTGGAAATCTTGAGGCTGAAGAGAATCCATCATCGAATGTAGGACTGAAGTTACAGTGGCATCCCCCGGACACTAGCTAGCATTTGTTGACTTCAATTCATGGCCAATGGCAGTTCGCCTGAGCAGCTCTGAAGGGTATTCTGTCGCGCATTCCGCAAAAACCGTTCGCCTTCTTTTCTTTGTCTCATGTTGTAAGGCACCGTCGTATCATGAATTCATGTGTTTCTCGTCTTGCAATTCTCATACCAAAACCTCTGCAAGTCCATTTTCTCGCTTTGCACAGTTTTTCGTCTTGCAAGATGAAAGACGAAACCCCGACATCATCCGACCATCAAATCCATTCCTGCCATCTTCAGTCCAAGAGACTTGGGACACAAGGGCACCGAGGAATTGCCCGTGCCCGAACCAGGCGGATTCACTGGTGGATGTGGATGGTCGTCCGAACACCAGGAACACCTCAGGCCAGGCCCAGCTAGGCCAGCTATGGAGCTGGGAACACATCCGGGCTTAGAAGGCTCACATTCTAACGATTGTCTAGTAGCTCCTGGTGCGTTCTCAACAGAAGTCGCTCGCCCAAAGGGTTCTTGCCCATCCCACAACATACCATGACACATTGCAATCTTGGATGTCTTTGAGGATACCAATAAGAAATTCCAGCAAGTTTCAAGTGCCTTGTGTTGCTGACGCCTATGCTCACCTCCCGTGAGTGACATTTCCAGCTCAGGCGCGTGGAGCTGGGGACGCATTGGCAGTTCCCACAGTCAACATGCGTCTCGGGGCAGCCGACCACGCTGGAAGGCCTCTGGCTTATGCAATTGGAAGATTGAGCTCATTTCAGAACTTGACAGGAGTCTTTGGGACAAAAAAGGAAAAGACCAGCGGAAAGCAATGTGCCTTGCAACTGCACGAGCCCACCTGGGCTCAATGTCCGTGTCAGGATCCACGTTAGTCTCGTTGTTGTCCACATCAGGTCCTCCTGTTGAGGAGATTGATTTCAGCTGATGCTTCGGGTAAGCTGAAACGGAGATGAACTTACAGCCAGGTCGAAAGGCAGAGGGAAACTTAAGTAGCTCATTCCCTGCCGTCGTCTTCCTTGAACACATTGGAGTGTGGATGAACAGTCTTGCAAACAACACGAGACTAGCTGTGACTAGCTGTTGGATTCGTCGATTCGTTTGATGCTACACAGCACAAAGTGCTACACGTGTAACCCCATTCATCTGCCCCATTCATCACCGGCCTATGCAAAAGTCGCACGTGTGCTCCGGCACACAGCGGCAGGGGCCACAGTCCTGCACTCAGACTCAGAGTCGTTGAATGTTCCACATCTCAGGACTCTCATTTGAAGTCCACACTGGGCACAGATCTTGGGAAATTGTATCAGAAGTGCGTACCACCCCGCACCGCACGGCAGGAAGCAAGATGCTCCCTTCACACAAACCCCACACCTTGAAGTTCGCCGGGCAATTCTCCACCGTCGAGGGCCGCACGGTCGCCGAGCTGCTTGTGGGCACACCACGGAGGGACGCCGAGGCCAGGGCGGCCAAGGTCACAGCCACCTTCCAAAGCCAGGGCGGACCCACACGTGGATGTCCGGCACGCAGCCGGCACGCAGTCAAAACACTCACCCGCAGGAAGTGCCTGTAACATGCTGTGACCAGGTTCACTTGTTTGGCAACAAATGCTGAATGCCAAGAAGGAAATCAAGCGGAGGTGTCAGGTGGCGCAGCTTGGACGAAGCCGGGACCAATAGGTTCGGCCCTCGAGATATGAGTGACGGTCGAGATAAGGTTGTGGTTGCAGGTCATCGGGATTTGGTGAGTAGATCATTGTGTGCCATCACGTTATCGTTTGTGGTTGGTGTGCTGTCGTTGTTTTGAGCAAAACATGCATCTTGAGATCACTTGACCACTCCCTGACACTATATATATATAACTAATTGTCACCCTAGGCCCTAGCTCATGTTCATGTTTGAGGAAGGAAATGAACTATCTTCGATGCAACCTCGTCGGTGTCTCACCCCGTGACGTGTGTCGGACTTGCCAAGCACGCGTAACGGGAGTCTGAAGTTTCATGGCCCGAAAAGGTCTGGCACCGGGACCCGGCATGCCCCAAAAAGAAGAAATGTCGCTTGAGAAGGATGGTCACCCCGTCCAACCCCCCAAGCAAGCCTTGAAGATTGGCGACATGTGTTGAGTCTCTCCACTTTGAACCAAACTTGCTGCAGGGCTAGACACGAGCTTCGAGAAAAAGATGAAGAAGGCTGAACCATGGCATGTTTGATTGCAAACGGTCGCAAAGGCCCCAAATCGCAAAGGCCCCAATCGCTGTGAAGAGGCAAGATGCACATGAAAACACGGCGCCTGGCCATAACATCTCCCGGCTTCGCTGAGGCAAGACTCTCAAAGAGACTCTCTTCGTGTTGAGTTCTTGGCTCTGGGATCCTCGCCCTCTCCGATTTGAGCCATCAAAACGCCCAGCCTATGGGTCTGTCTGCTTAGGTCGCTGCCATCCTTCACATGGGGGATCGATTTGGCTCCTAAAACATCACCCAAAAGCATAGGCTTAGGAGTGTCTTGCATGGAGCCACCTGCATCATACCAGCTTTTGGTGTGGAATCTAGGCATCCAGTCAAGTCCAAGATGACCAGTGGTCGGAGCCAGAATGGCTGCCGGAGTTACAAACCGCGCGAGTTACAGGGTTGCAAGAGGGCACAGAAAGGATGGCATACTTTCCAGAGAAAGACATGATCCACTTCTCATTTACAAAGGTCTATGTCCAACAAAGCTCCTACCTCAAGAGCATTCGGCATGCTACCGCGACTGTAGGTATCCTTGCAAAAGAATATTCAAAAGTCCAGCTATGGATCTCAAGCAAATGACCACATGTTGTGATGCGAACGGATTGGAGCGACAAGACTTGCCATTTGAAGCAGATGGTCCTTCCATTTGAACATGTGCCTCCCTCCTCAGCCGTGGAAACTGCTCCTTCCACAGCTCCCTCCCAGAGGTTCTGGCGGCATCAACTCTTGCAAGCGCAATGCGACCTCAAAGAGGGGAACGAATGCACAGCATGAACCACATGTAAGACATGTCCGCGGGCTTTCTGATCCAGCGGCAGCTGAAACGTACGGCGCTGTCCAAAGGTTGGAGGGTTTGGGTTTCGGTTTGGGAGCGCTCCCAGCGTTTCTGCACTTCTCGTTTCGTGCCATCGCTGCGATGTTGGTCGGTTTGGGTCGCACCATGCCGATGCTGGGCAGGAGCTGCTGCATTTGGGCCCGCACATGTTGCACGCTCCGGAGTGTCTCTTCCTGACAAAAGACCGGTCCGGTCCAAATCTAGAGCTGCAGCAAATCAACCAGCTTGCATTGGAGCCAGGCTTACCAAGCCAACATCACTCGATCAAGTTTTTCAAAGCGTTGTTAAAGGCTCCGACCTATCTTCATGTGAATTTGCTCTACCATCTAGGTGGAAGACACAGGCTAGCTGAGACGCATTCTGCCAAGTGGAGTGGATCCAAAAAAAACTTGAGCTAAACACGTGTGCTTTTTCAGGCCTTTCATGCTCTCATTGGGTCAAAGTCTCCGTCCTGGCTGGGCAGCGCTGCCCAGACCTTCGGCTCCAGTGAAGCCACCTCAGCCGACAGGCCGCGGTTCGTTCGACCCCACCGAGATGGCTATGCAGCTATGCCGAGATGGCAAATAGCATTGCCGTTGCTAACACAGGAACTGTATCTCAGAAGGGTTGAGATCTTGACTGATCTCATCAAACTTCAACCCTTTCAAATCAATGTAGATCCATTATATACAAGTTGGCATGTCGACATTACATCGCAAACTTCAAACCAGGCTGGAGCGGTTATTCCAAACTCCAGAGCTTCAGTTGCCTGTGTGCTGCAACATGTTCTGCAATGTAAGGTCGCCACCTGGTGGACATTTAGATACATTCAGCGGCATGGTTTGTCTTGGTCGGCCAATACCCTGTTGAAGGAAGTCCATTGGGCAGGTTACAGCATTCCAAGAAAATTCAAGCCTGAACTGTTCTTGCTGGGAGCGTGATTGACCCAAGAACTGAGCCATCCAGCTGACAAGAACTTCATTGCGCGGGCGATGTGAGGCTGCCCTGGGACTTCCCGGGCGTGTCACCTGATTTTCTCCAGCATGTGAGGGATGGTCACTTCAGAAGTTCTCCGCTCAAAAAGTGGGGAGAACAACATGGAAGCTTCTTGGACCAGGGACTATAGCAACCTTGAGACACAGGTGCGCTTCATCATCTGCAATTGTGAATTTTGGACATCAAATCTGCTAGCCACAAGTCCTCAACAAGGAAACGCCAGCACAGGCAAGCGTGGCCAACATGAGTCAATTTTTTGAAGACTGGCCCTTGGTCAAGGGCTCGCATCGTCACTTCCCCCACATCGTTACTTCCGGTGCCTCTGGATCTGGCCGGGCGGCCAGGATCCAGGCCGTCACAGGCGCCTCACTGCGATGTGGCCCCCCCCCAAGTCTTGTGGGTTCATCATAAGGTGGCCCCACCTCCGGGAGGTGGCTTTCTGGTGGATCCAAAACCTTGACTCCGAAGAAGGCCACGTTTTCAGGAGGACGTAGCGAGGTGGTGCCTCCTCGAAACAAGCATATGTTGCAAAGTTCCTCAAGGCCTATGGATCTGACTCCACCAGATCGGCGTGAATCCTACAACCGTGAACTCCTTCCTGGTTTTGAATGCCTACGTTTGCCCCAAAGGGTTAGCTCACTCTTCAAATCCAATTTCTGCAAAGGCGCCACATGGAATGGGCGCTGAGTGGAACATCAAACGGCCACGGGCATTTGGACATCCACAAATGCAAATCCTCTTCGTCATGTCCATCATGTCCAATATTCCATCCCATGAGAACTGGAAAAAAAAGAACGAACAAACAAGCAAGCAAACAAGCAAACAAGCAAACAAGCAAGCAAGCAAGCAAGCAGGAAGACACAACTCAAAGCCACTGGCACCCATGTTCAGAGACCTTCTGAGACCGTGTTCTAAAGAAGAAAGAATTCTAAATGCACAATTCGACCGACTCGCTTCAACCCATGGAGCACTTCTTTTGGGGATCTTTTCCACTCGGTTGGAGCGTCTCCACCCGGCGGGCATGGCGAAACGGCGTCTCCATGGGAGAGGTTGAAAGGAAAACGGTGGAGTTCAAGAAACTGATCCCAGCTTGTAACCATCAATTACTTCATCTGACCCGAGAATAGACCACTTGATGACAGAGCACCTTTTGGTTGAGTATGTCTTGCAGGACAATAGCTGTATCATTCCCCAAAAGTCCCAAAGCTCAATGCAAAAGAGTGAAGAAACCTGTGTTCAGCTCAGTTTGGCCTTACTCTTTTCCTTAGGATAACCAATGGCTGCACAGCTGACTACTCTGCAAGAATCGGCTGGAGATCGCCGCACATGTTGGAGATGGACGCAGTCCATCTCCTAAGACCGATGTCTGGCTTCAACGGCACAGCTCCTCCCAACCAACAGCAACCAACTGGAATAGCTGTATGAAATATGCTGAAATATGCAAAGAATTTTACAAAATGGCGACAGAACGTGCATAGATGCCTTTGCAGCACCACAGCACCAAACAATCGTGCTCGCTAAAGCTGTTAATCAAAGCAGACCTTCTCCTGGCCGTGCCATTTTTTCAAAAGCATTGGCAAGTCGGACCCCACGCACTAAGGTACAAGCCGTCCTTCATGGCCTTCGGACATGAAATCCCCGACTGTCCCAGGCTCTTGGTGTCAGAAATCCCTCCACGCACAAAGCAAGATCTCACATGTCACCGCTTTTTTGAAGCAACACATCATGACATCCTCGACTCTCGGATTGACATCACACCAAGAAACCCAGTGCCCTCCTACGATCACTGCTCACATCTTTGGTTGCAGCGAATCTTACAGCTGGCTCTTACAGGGATAGGTGCCCAACAGCTGAATCGAACAGCCGCGAGGTGTTTTCGCTATGAGAAAGCTGAAAGAACCCTCCAGAAAAGACATGAAAAGACAGGGGAACAGGTCTGCAGCCTGTTCAAAGGCGCATTGGATGTGTAAATGTAGCTGTTAATTATGGTATTTTAGTCGGGCGATGTGCTTCAAATGTATTGAACATGCTCCGAAATCTGTAGTAGACCAAATCGTTTCATTAGGAGTAAAGCAGACAAGCTCTACCAATCTTTGAGTAGTCCTGTGGTCCAGCAATGCTACTACAAAACGACATGTCTAGTCTATCCAGAGTGTCTAGTCAGTGCGCTGGAATTGAAGTGCCAATGATCTCCCTTGCAGCTTATGTATCCGATCTTCATCCAGTCTATGGTGCAACTAGTATTGGACCGACTAATCCTGCACTTGGAACTACACTAGCCACTCACAGACTCTACTGTCACTATCAACTTCGTCTTCCATGACTCCTTCTTGACAAAAACATGCTATACACAATTTTGAGCCCGGTTGGAGTGCATGTCTATGCCTCTATGCGGGAGGGCCAATCTGATGGGTTTTCAAGCCGGACAAATAGGGAACAACTTTTGAGGTGAAAAGAAAGAGGACGACCTCTTGGAATTCCCAGTCCTCCAAGAGGGACATCCAGGTGGCAGCTTTTCGACAGACTTCGTGTGACTTAATTGAAAGAACCGTTTTTTTGCCTGCTCCCCCCCCTCCCTACTTAATGAAGTATGCGCCTACTTAATTGAGTAAAGGAGAGGTAGCTAGTAGGTACAGGACACCTAGGTAGGATGCTCCTAGGTAGGCCTGAGGGCGGGCGAGAGCTTCCTTGAAGAAGCGCTCGCACTATGCAATTCGTTCCTATATAGATGTTTAGGGAAACTTAACATTCAAGTCAAGTCTGAACCTTAATTGGTCCCCGTCTTCCTGTCGCCAGCTCTCTTCGGCTGTCACTCCGCTGTGCATGTGCTTTTGGGTCCTGAAGAAAGAATGAGAACGGCGTGTGGTCCAGGATGTTGGAGACTTAGAATACCTTTCCTTTAACAAAATGGACAATTGTAAGGAAGTGAAGAGAATAACCTTTCACAAGTTGATGATCAGTAGCAACAACATCACCAAGTGACGAATCACACAAAAATCTAACTGATTTAAAATTGCCTGATGGAAAGGGCTTGTTTTGCTCAACATGGCGAAGCCCAAACTCAGTTCAAACCATGGTGCTGGGTAATTGAAAGTTGAACGTTTAATTTGCAGAACTTCATGTTTTCTCCTGCACACTCTGCGCAACATCAATCGCTGCCCGTACCAATCCAGCTGTATAAAGTGTCTAGTCAGCTTGAGCATACTCAAAAGGAACAGTTTGGTTGTTTGAATCGAGGACCACAACAGCAATGTACTCG